CTTAATTGTCCGTCCACGCAAACTATAGTTCCGATCTCTGTGTCTGCTATCCTCGGATCCCTCCGACCGTAATCGCTGTCTTTCTTTCTCTCAGCCTGCTTCGTCTCCGCTACGTCTCTGTCTCCACTACTGCTTCGACTGCGTCTCTGTCTCTCTCACTGTCTGGCACACTTATATACAATAATACTGCCTGTTCTAGAAACTTCTAAGACTCTCAACACGTGCTACCAGCATCACTTGACTTCCGCTGTCATCACGTGACCCCCGCTGTCATAACACACTAGCGAATCTTCTAGAATACTCGTCATGTGACCCCACTGTCGTAACACAACCATCAGAACATAAAACACAATACCATATGAGGCTAAAAGATGGGCTTCTAATAGTGATAAACACAAATGGCAGCACATAAGCATTACCACTAGGTGGACTTGTTCATTCACAATGATCAAAAATTTAAATTATTATCAAAACAGTCAACAAATACTCAAAGTATAAATTACAAGAAATCCAGGAAAAACTTAAGGTAAGAAACAAGAAAAAAAAAATCATCCACACCATTGTAATGCATTCCTGTTGTTAAAGGCAAAATATACATCCTCTGATGAACATAAGTATTACTAAGCAACATATCACAAACATCAAAGCTTTAAATATTTTGATAAGCATCAAAGACAGCTTTGGTAAATCTATGAATTATCTTACAGTTATTTTGATTTAAACCTAAATGGCCATGGACTTCATTCTTTTGTTGATATGCTGATAAGTTACATTTTTTGTTATCAAGGGTGTTAAAAGATATACACTCTGTTTACTAATCTATTATTCCTATAAAGAAATATTTTCATTGATGGGGAGATCATAGAAAATGTCAATTTATCCATGAATAATGTTAGTTATCTATACTTATAATCTTAATAGTTGTATAATATGTTTTAATATCCATGAATATATTACAGTTATAATTACTGAAAAATGCAATGACTACATTTATGAGTCCCTGAATTCTGTTACAGTTATTTGTGCCCAGGGCCTTATAGCCAAAGATAAAAGTGGGACAAGTGACCCTTATGTGACCGTCCAGGTTGGGAAGACTAAAAAACGCACACACACCATGCCTCAGGATCTAAACCCTGTATGGAATGAAAAATTTTACTTGTATGTATGTTTTATTTAAAATAAGTAAATAATTTAATGAAAGATAATTTTCTACATTAAGGTTTCATTTCTAACCAATTTAACACTTTTGCAAAAAAACTTACCTAACATTATAATGATGTAGTTAAATGACTAAAAGGTATGAATGAATATTTTGTGCAATTATGTTTAAAGAAATAATGTATGTAAGCAAAATTCTCTCAAAACTGGCCATGTTGTGATAAAGTTTAGCTATTTTGATAGTTGTAGTACAAAATAAAAATATACATATTTTTATCTAAGCAGGTATTCAGCTAATCTGGCTAATCTGTATTTCTCTTTATTTAATTTATTTATCTGACGAATGTACATATAGATGATTTTCCCGCATTTTTTTAAACAGTGAAAAAAACATTACGAATGTTGCTCGATGTGAAGATGGAATTGGGCATGTTAAACAATTTTTTTATACTGTAATATTTGGCCACTAGATGTCAAAAGCAATTTTAATTTCTGTTCAGTCTCATATTATTGAAGTATTCCATACCTACATTTTCATTGACTGTTGGTTAGTCTGTAGGCTTCTTCTGAAAATTTTACTGCATTTATATACGAATATTTAATTAAAGAGATGATACACATCTAACTGATAAAGATGTGATTCTCTCTTCAATACCTTAATTTTTGTTGATTGAATAGCTTTCAAATGGTTGTTCTAGGGATGCCTCTACTTTAATTTTGCTGGACTAATGAAGCAGTGGATATACCATTATTCATGAATCATAGAGATAATACACACCTAATCAATAAATATGTGAAAAACTAATGATTTTGTGTGAAGTTGGTTGCATGGAATGGGTATGAAAAACTGACTTTCATAGACAGTGGTTTTGCAACTGTGTGTAACCACTGCCTGAACTAAAGAAGCAATGGAAAAGGGTATTTCATAACCACCATTATAAAGACAATAGACAATATGGCATGTGAAGCTACTTGCAGAACAATCAAATTAAAATAATAAAAAACTTTAAGGTTTTATGTCAATTACAGAAAGTATAACCAGAGCAGATCAAGTTGTTAATGTGTGTATTTGTTATTGAACACTGTTTACAATTTGCCATTATTACAGGTCCAATAGATTGTTGCAAGCAAGTTATAGAAGACAAACAAGTGCTCAATAAACTTCACATTTCAAGCAAGTGTGAAACATACACAAACACTCATAGGTTGGCAAAGACCTTTAAAACAGAATTATGCAGCATTTTAAATAATGTTCTAATATACTTGTTAAATACTTATATTTAAAATGTAATAAATAAAATGTGTTTCTGTTATTATTGTGCACAATGTGGGCTTGTTTCTGTAAGTTTCAAAATCAAGTGTATTTTTTTATTATTTATTACACAAAAAATATCATCTTCTGAAATGTGATCATAACAATATAAATAGCAAAAATAAATTTGTCTAGACTGCTCAAAACAAGAAAAACTTTTGAATTCTGAAGGAGAATATCCAGTAACAAATCTTTCACCTTGCTATGCTTGGCAGGTTTTTCCATTTTTAATTCTTCAACATTTTGCTCTGCTCTTACCTTTGGTATAATGAGAAAAGAATGACCAATTCTCTTTAATTCTTAATACCTTTTCAGGGTTAAAAGTAAAACACAATATATCTAAAGCCTAAAAATCATATCCAGATATAAATAGTTCTTTTATGTTGCCTAACTTATATTGATTTTTCTTTGCAAGAAAGAACTACATAATATAAATTTATGTTACTTCATTTAACCTTATGGTTAGCATAATAGTTAATAATGATTTTTAATGTACAGTAAAATATACTCATTACGTTTGTTTTGAAAATCTGTTGTTCAAGTTAAAGTTTTAAACCAAATGTTGACCACTAAATAGACATATCATGGTCTGAAATGCTAAACATTTCCAACCAGTTCTTCACAAAATTTCTAACTGGTCTTTTAGGGATTTTAACTGGTCCTCATTAAGTTTAATTAATTGATCCACTCCAATAAGATGTATGTATACATAACTTACATTTTATCAATTGCACATGTGAATTTTTTAAAGGAAATTGGCAAATATGTATGTGCATATATGTGTAATATTAAACAAAACTCTTTAATTGAAAACAGTTTTTGATTATATCACTCTTGGAATGTTCATAATATTTATATCTATTAAAATAAACACACACACAAAAGTAACTTGAGATTACTACTTTAATACTGACCAAAAGGTATTTCTCTTTTGAGATGTTGCTCCTCAGTGGCACAGCAGTATGTTTGCAGACTTATACTGCTAGAAACTGAGTTTTGATACCTGTGGTGGACAGAGCACAGATACCCATTTGTGTAGCTTTGTGCTTAATAGCAAACAACAACAACAACTATTGAGATGTTAATATTCATCACACTTTGTTTGGATTGATCCTGGCATTCACATGTTCTAGGAACCTCCTTTTCATTTCAGACATTATAGGAATTTCTCATAATGTTCAAAAATAGGCCAGGGATCCCCGAAAATGCTAAAGGCTTCATTTGGGAGATTGAAATAAAGAAGATACTTTCACAAGACAAAACACAACTATGGTTTTAGGACAAAGTATAGAAATGTACATTTAACAACAAGGTAAAATAAGAAAAATGTTTAAAATTCTAATTGGCCATGTTGAGCAAATTTGATTATTATTTTTACAGACTAAACGACTTGAATCTCAGACCCTGATATGTATATATATATATATATATGTTTTTGTGTGCATACATCTATATATATTTATTAATCAACATAAAAAGTGAATAAAAGCCCTTAGATTTTTCTAGACTAGATAGCTTTTTAAATACTATGGGTGTTATGTATTAACAGAAAAGAAACTTTACTGAATCCAGTTAACAATAGAACTTGCCATAATATTCTACAATATCATATGACGTAAAATTGTCCAAGTATTAGATGATAGGAATATGGAGACCACCAACATTTTTTTCTACAATATTACATGACAATTATATCAAAATCACAAAGAACAATTTATACAAATAGTAATAAAAAAGTCATCAAAACTATCAATTTCATAAGATAAGAACAGTATTAAAGTAATCAAGAATGATCTTGATCTTCTAACTAAAGAAATATGAATGCCATTAAAATATTTCTAGAAAATTGCATGACATTCATATTTAATCTGCTAAGAACTAACTAATGTCTTAAATAACAGTAAAATTAGCCACCATGAATCATATTGAACATCATATGACATCACTATACCTATGACAGCCAGCTCGTAGCTGCAACATGTCAAGTACAGAATCTGAAGGGTCAAAAAATTTAAGATGGAGAGTGAAATGGCATGTTTTATAGAAACAATGAAGGAAAAGTCTTAACTTGCAGAGTTGTAAGATGAATAATTAACCAAGTATCAATTATCTAACAGTATGAACATACAAACACACACAGTGAACAAAGAAAGTTGCTTTAGAATAATTATGTGCTAGGTGTAAACATTAAAAGATTGTCCTAAATCAAAAAATTGTAAAAATTGTATGTGACATATGGTATTTCATTCTTGTAAATTTTCAAAAAAGGGTTTTATTAAAATATTTCTCTCCCATTAGGAATTTTACTGTTCATTCTTTAAAAGGTTTAATCCGTTGAGGGAGCGGGGTTTCTGAAATTGTTTTTAGGCTTTATGTACTTGTGTTAAAGTTTGTTTAAGGTTGATGTTTTAATTTACTAGCACAGGTCTTCACCATTATACACCATCTTAAGACAGGAATAGCAGATTCAGTAAGGAGAACACACTTTATTTCAATGAAAAGAATCAACATCACTTGATACATTTCAAAATGTTATGAATATTTAAAATTATTTCAAAAATATTAATTAATGCTCACAACACCATATGCTCAAATTAAAATACTAATTTCCTCAATGTGACATCAAACACTATTGCAATATCTCTCTATTATTCCTCCTCATATTCTGTGTAAGTTCACTTTCTTATTTAAGTAAACAGAACCAATGTCCAAACAAGTTTCCACTCATAATAATATTTATCTCGCAGGTACATAAACATGCGTATATATGTGCATCTTGATGGTTGTACAATTTTAGCCATGAAAATGCACTAAATTACTTCCTAGAAAAATGGAAATGATGATTTGAGAAAAACATATATCATAAAGGTATGAGTATGTTTTATCTCGTTAATCTACTTATCATGTACATTTTACAAATTGCTAAAGCTATCAGGTTTTTATGTAGGTTGAGGCTGGATTCTTTACAGTAGGTGTCTGTGACTTGTTGCTGATAAATTTCAAGAATACACAGTCCACTTCTTTTAAAATAATATATGAAAACAAGTCAAATATACAAATGTTCATTACACTGTTGGTTGTCACAGTTGTATTCAGAGCTTTAAATAATCATTCTGTTTCATCAAAGTCCACACAGGTTGGTTCAATTACTTTAGAACACAATTAACAAGCCAAATTATTTTTTTCTACTCTGTTATTATAATACAGTTTATGATAATTTCAATTTACAAATTGTCACTGTACACTATTTATGGTTAATCATGCAGTATAAATCTATTAAGCTATCTAATTCTATGACTGTCTAACTATGTCTTCTAACTAACTTACTTGAACTACATCTTGGACACATATTTATAGAATCACAGAAGCCTAGAATGTTCCACACACTATAAATAGTATGATGCAATAATACTCAACTGAAACAATGAGAAAAACTTCGAAGTTTCTTGTAACATGATGCAATAATACAACCAGCACCAACTTGCAACAATTGAACTAATAATGTATGATTCGTATACAGTTATGTAAACAAACCTGCTATGAACTATCACTTCTTAAAATAACTAAATTTAACACTCACTTTATACTTAAACTATCTAAATCATAACACTCACATTAACGTAAACAGTCCTGTATATCTAACAAAAGCTATTAATCTAATTGATGTTTACTTACATTAACAGTGTTCTTTCTTGTTCTAGTGAATGTCACAATTCTTCTGATCGTATCAAAGTTCGTGTATGGTGAGTATTGGTTTTGATTTGTTTGTTTTTTTTTGTCATAAAGAAATTCTCATAATATTAAAAATTATTGGGCATATCTCCCATTTTTAGTAAGAGATAAAACTAAAAAGTCATCATTGTGCTTGAAAGAAACATCATGTATGTTTTTTTCCTAGTCAAAACTAGAGATGTTGCTAGGTGCTTAAAAGATTTGAGGCTTGAGCTCATAAGCTCAGGAATTTTTGGCATTTCAGTATGATATCGATCATGGTTTTTATTCTGATTTTTCAAGACACCAACTGGGTATTTGGGGCACTGTCAAATAGAATTAGGGCACAGACCCCATGTGCCAGTGCATAGCAATGCCTCTGGTTAAAACTGGTTTGAACTTGGATTTTGTAACAACTATTGTTCAGCTGATGCAAGGTCTTAGATACATTCTCCTCTTGATTTACATGACTTGTTCTAGTATAGCTCATCATATATGTTTATTCTCTATATTTTGCTATTACTGATGACTTAATTAAATCTTACATCATTCATGTTGTATCAATATCTAAGTTTTAAGAAACTTTTCTGTTATATTGACTATAAAGTGAGAGTTGATTCTATTTCCAAAATCTTATCAAAAGTTTTGTCACCTTTGATCTTTTTATTATTTTTTTCAGTTATACAACAGATTTCTGTGCATATGTAGGAAAAAACATAATCTTTATATCATAAATAAAATCAAACCATTGTGATCAAAATGCTTTAATGCAGATATCATTTGATGAATTCTGTGATAATTCATTTCTTAAGTTTACATTACACAGGTGTAATGTTTTATAGAGTTAATCTAATTACTATGTTTTTTTTGTTATTAAGCACTGGAACAAAAAAAAAACATTGTCTGCAAGTTGGTCCAAAAAATATCTAAAATTTAACTTCTCCTTTGAGCAATAGTTGTAACTTATTTCTCATTACTAATAAGCAATGCTCATGATTTGAATTTTCCACAGGGATGAGGACAATGATCTAAAGTCTAAATTGCGACAAAAACTCACCAGAGAGAGCGATGACTTTTTAGGACAATCTATCATTGAAGTGAGAACGTTGAGTGGGGAAATGGATGTTTGGTACAACCTTGGTAAAAATAAATTCAAACATATTTTCTAAAATTATAATCTATGATTAAAATAATAGTTTCAGGTGATTTTTTTTATTTTCATCCAAAGCTTAAGAATGTATAGTAAAAAATAAAGGTGATTACTTAGTTATATAACAAGTATGTATAAGATTTTGTAATTTACAGCTGTTGAAAAACAACAATTCTGACAACTACATAACAAACAAACGTAGATTTATGATTATATGATAAATTTTTCACTATTTTAAAGAAATAGATGAAGTTTTCTACAATCACCTTTTGTGTAGAAAAAAGAACAGACAAATCAGCTGTGTCAGGTGCTATTCGCCTTCACATTAGTGTAGAAATCAAGGGAGAGGAAAAGGTAGCCCCATACCATGTGCAATACACGTGTCTACATGAGGTCAGTTTATGTCATAATATTGTGTATAATGACTGTTAAAATTATAACATGTAATGTGAAAAATTATATATGAAGTTCTTATAAAACTTTTATACTTCTATAACAAAGCTTCTTCATTTGCTGTAGACGTTAAGCATTCTAACATGGAGAAAATAAATAAGGAATTTATACATAAAAATATATTTCTGTCAAAGTGGGTTTAGAGAGTATATTTCATACATTAATATTATTTCTTGTGTACTTCTGTTGTATCTTGTTGTAATCTGAAACAACATTGTATGTTCCATGTGTGATCTTGTTCACACCCGAAGAAGGATTCAACATGGAACAGAAATTTTGTTTTATAATCAAAATAGAGACAAGTGAAGTCCATCAAAAAAACAGAGGCTGTTAGTAAAATATTTCTTTGATTATTTTATTAATTTCATCAAAAAATAAAAGAGAATATTTGCTTTATTTTTATCAATACTTTTCTAAGATATAAAAATAGCAATTTTTCTGAAATTCTTTACAATTACTTCTGATAATTTTTAACAAACATTGGTTTTGAAATTTTTACCTGGTTGTGCTGATCATGCTTTGCACTTTGTGGTCGCCCCCCCAGTGGCACAGCGGTATGTCTGCGGACTTACAACGCTAGAAACCGGGTTTTGATACCCGTGGTGGGAAGAGCACAGATAGCCCATTGTGTAGCTTTGTGCATTAATTTGAAACAAAACGAAACAAACTTTGGGATCATGGGTGCATTATAAGAGTGATAGTTGAGTTCTATTGATAAGAATACTCCAAGAGTTGGATATGGGTGATGTTGACTAGCTACCTTCCTTCTTGTCTGTAGCTTCAAAATTAGAGGTGGCTAGCACTATAGCCCTCATATAGCTTTGTACAAAATCCAACAAACAATCAATCATCATTTGGAGCTGAGGGTACAAGTTAAAACAATATCTAGGGGTAAATGTTTGTTTTGTAGCTTGACAGTGGTAAAACATGCAAATTATAGCACAGGGTAAGTTTAAAAGTTTAAAACATAATGCAGTAAAAAAATCTGTAACTGTCAGGTATTCTATGTATGGGTTGGATTCTTTACTATATGGTGTCTTTGATTTTTTGGTGATAAATTTCAACAACAAACAAAAAACACACAGTCTACTTGTTTTAAAATGATATATTAAAAAAGTTTAACACTTGCACTATACTTAAATTGAAACAGTTATGTACATCTAACAATAAGACCCTTTTGAAGAACAATAGCTACAAGATTTTTTTATTCTATATACAAAGACAGTTTTCAGTTCTTGCACAAAGTTCATACAGCCTGCACCAACATTTGCAGTCCCTTACACAGACTCAATGCAGAACTGGTAATTCTGGAGATACAATACCAACTTCATGTTTTTGCACCTCTGGATATATGCAAGGAGATGATTATCTGCCTGGATGATGAACTCCTTCCTGTAGTTCAGGAATTTCCAAATTGCAAATATGATTACCAGATACTCTTGTTCAATCACAGAATAATTATTCTCACTACTCAATAGCGTTTTACTAATGAACATTATGGAAAACATGTTCTTTATGTTCTTTCAGATATACTGTTCCAATTCTAACATCTGAGGCATTGGCCTGAAAGATGAACAGTTTGTTGAAGTCTTGCATTCAAAGGATTGGCAAACTTCCTAATATGTTCATCAACTGGGTAACTTCTGGAATACCATCTGCTGTGGTTGTTCCCAATTCACCTTGTTGGGTTGGCCTTTCTTGGTCAGGTCAGTCAGCAGTACAGCAACTTCAGCATAGTTTGAAATTAACTTCTTATATTGTCCCACTAACCCCAGGAAAGACCTGACTTGCTGCTTAGTTGTTGGAGCTTACATGATCTAATCATCAGACCTGCTGCCCTCACTTGCCTGAACAGCTATCTGAGTTTCTTCAGGTGTTTTTTCCATATGGGTGTATGGGTCAAAATGTCATCCACACAATGCTCAAAGTTGGTAGTTTTGTGAAACATCTTCTTCATCATGTGATTAAATATCATTAGTGCGTTGACTAATCCAAATGGTGCCCTCTTGAAATAGTAGTATCTGTTTGGTGTCACAAGGCTGTCTTCTCTCTAGATTCTGTCTCCATTGGGATCAGTCAATAACCTTTACTGAGATCAATCTTAGTAAAGAACTTGGCCCCATGTAGTTTTGCCATCATAGCCTCTGGATTACACAAAAGTTTGGAGTCAAACTTTGTTACGAGGTTCAGCTTTTGGAAATCTATACAGAAGCAATTTGAACAGTCCCTCTTCTTCACGATTACCATTGGTGAACATTAGGCTGAATTTGAAGGCTCAGTGATTCTGGCTTCCAACATTGCCTCGACTTCTTGCTTGCTTGATTAGATCTCTCATTGCATAGGAAATTAGGTAGGGTTTCACCTTAACTGGATCCCTAGTCATTGTCTTGATCTTGTTTTGCACAAGGTCTGCCTTGCCTGGTTTATCTGTGAGTCATCAGTGTACTGGCACAGTGGATCTTGTAGCTCTTTCTGCTGTTTACCAGTCAGAAGACACTGATGTTGACATCTTTGTATGTCTCATCTACACCGAGTGGTCTTATGTTTAGTAAGCCTTCACCTTCTGTGGCAAAGTCACCATCTTCTGGTTCTGCATCTATGACTGCCCATCTGCAATGTCCATTTGTGCCTCATTGCTGCACCTGTTAGGTCTTCTTCTCTCTTGAAGTACCTTTTCAACAGATTGGCTTGGTAGATCTTGGTCCTCCCATCCACTTTCACCTTACAATCCATTCTGTTGACCACTTCCTGTATTTCAAAAGGTCCTTTCCATTGCTGGGCGAGTTTCTTGATGTCTGTGGGTAGCAGAATGAAGACCTTATGTCCAACCTTGAAATGTCAATTCTTGATCCTCTTGTGAAAGAAGTGCTTCTGACTGCCTTGAGCTGCATACAAACTTTCTTGAGCAAGTTGACAGGTCTCCTTTAGTTGGTTTCTCTGGTCTAATACATACTGACATGTGTTCCTCACTTCTCATTCTTCTTCTCTTGTTCCCAGTTCTTTCAGTATCTGCATCAGAACTCATACTGTTCTTCCATACAGTAACTTAAAGGGTGAAAATCCTGTACTCACTTGTGGGACTTCTCAGTCAGCAAATAATACTGCCTGCATGTACCTGTCCCAGCCATTTGGTCTCTCCTGACACATTTCCTTTGGCATGCACTTGAAGACTCCATTAACTCTCTCACAAAGCCCATTACATCAGGGTTGTACAGGGTGGTAAGGAGCTGCCTAGTGCTGATGAGTTTTCACACCTGTTGTGTCAGTACTGAGGTAAACTAGGTCCTCCTGTCACTCAAGACTTCTCTTGGAAAGCGTTCTTGGGTGAACACTTCCAAGAGGGCTTCTGCTACTCTTTCCATCTCTGTCTTTGACAGTGCTTCTGGGTAACATGTCACATAGTTGATTACTGTCAGCATTTACTGGTTACCCTTGTCAGATCATTGGTCTGATCAAGTCCACAGCTACTTTGCTGAATGGCTCTTCTGTGAGAGGCATATCATTCAGTGGCATCTTGGCTAACTTTCTTCTTGGGACTGTCCTTTGGCAGATGTCACGTTACCTGCAGAATCTGGTCACATCTCTGATGACCCCTGGCCAATGGATGTTCCTGATGACTCTCTCTGCCACCTTCTTTGTTTCTAGGTGTCCTCCTACAATTGATGCATGAGTCAATTTCATTACTTGAGTCTAGTATTCTGTTAATACTATGACCTGTTTAACTTTCCCAGTAGAACTGCCTTGATAGATCCCAAAATTTCTGCAGTAAAGGGTCTTTCTTCTGTGCTTCCTTCAGTGCCTGTAGACCTACATTTGGGATGTCCCCTTTCCAGACTTGCAAGGGCTTGATGTCTTGCTTCCTTTTCTTTCCTTGAGCAGTTGCAGTGACTGCAGACACCTCATCAGTCTCCTTTCTGTCTGATTCCTCCAAACTTCTACCTAGATAGGTACCTTCATACAAATGGCTTCAAGGTCTTCTATGTAGTATGGAGTGTCCACCTTAATTTCTGAGTTGGGAAATTTTCTCATTGTCCCATCAATCAGCCCACACACAGATGTACCTTGTCCATCATCTGGTCATCAGATACTAAACTGGTTTTCATTGCTATACCCAGTGCCTCATAGGACTTTCACTTTCTTGACCCTGACATAGCCTTCATCAGCTGGCATGGTATGGTTTGCTGGCACCACTCGAAGTTTGTCACATGCTCCAATCACTACTGTTACTGTTGACCCATTTGTTAACTTGTGCTGACCACCAATCATGGTGATAGCACTTCCTTCTTGTGGTGAATTTGACAGATTGTCTATATTCTGTTTCTTCTGGCAGCAGCATCCATGGTGGCAGTCACTCTTTTCTTGTTTCTTGCCAGCATCATCTTTGAAGGTAGCTCCAGCTGCTTTATTCTGAGATTTCTGCTATTGCTTATTGGTGATAGATTTGCACTCACTTGCAATGTGCACAACCTCTCTTCTCCTTTAGGGGTGAAGAGAAGCAAAAGTTTCTGACCACCCTGGGTTGTCTTTCAGACTGCAAAATATTTTTTGAGGCTTGAAACATTTTGAAACCTAAATTCCTTGATCAGTGCATAATTGCAAAATATTGCTTGATATATCCCTTATTACTCCATACATTGAGACAGACAAGTTGTTTGGTTACCACATTTGACATTCTAAGTTTTTTGTATAAGACCATACAGCCTTAATAATATTTATATTAGGACTGTGCAGCCAAGCCATGGTTTCAAGTGTTCCCTCAGCCTTTTTTTTTTCCTTCAAGGTATCATTTTACCACATTTTTTGCAGGATTGTGATCACTGTCTTGCTGAAAGATGAAACACTACCCAATGTATATTGTTCCTGAGGCAGTGAGATGATGGATAAGAATATGCTTGTACTTGTCAGCATTCAGGATGCCATAAATGTTTGTGAAGATCTCCAACATCACTGGGTGAAGTGTGTTTACATTTGTATTCATCTCCAAAGATACGTACTTCACTGTAGATGTTGTATTACATGCTTGCTGTGATACCATTTTCCTCTCTGAAAATGAACAAACTATTGTTGATTGTTTCCAAACAGTTTGGATTTGTATTATCTGTAAAGAGTTTCCTTCTCCATTGTTTGAATAATGATGCCTATTTCAGTCTTTTGGTTTGATTGTTTTTGACCAGCTACACACCAACTGAAAAAACTTCTGCTAATGTAATGTATGTCTTACTTACAACTAGGTTATTAGCAAGACCTCTGCTGGATTATTGTGTGTCATGTAAAGATCATACTCCCAGGTATTTAACATTACTTTTTAATAGTTTGGGCCTTATAACTTGATTGCTTCTTTATATTAACAATACTAGTTGCACATAACCTCTTCAGAGTTTCCATACAGCTCCTATTGAAATATAAAATTTTACCTCCATCTGTCACATGAAGTAGCCTTTACCAGCCAAAACTTTTATTTTGTACAAATTTTTCATGTGGCATTTCTTTCCTGGGAGTCATGAGTGAAACTACCACATTACAGATGGGAATATATGACTGCCTGTACTATTATATATTATGCTTAATGTGGCACTGTTTGATTGGTTGGATGACAGCCAATCATAGTGTAAACTATCAACACATGACTGTGCTCTTGCACAGTATGTTTTCATACAGTACAATGAAGTAATCCTATAATTTTTGTATTTTATACCTATTTTATTCATTGTTCCCATAACTATTTCCACTAATGTATACTTTTTTTACAGAACCTATTTCATTATTTGTGTGAAAAATGTGGAGGAAACGTGAAGTTACCAGTTGCTAAAGGGGTAAGACAGAAATTTTTTTGTAAAATAACAATCTTAATCATAATGAAGTTGAACAGACTTTCAAAGAGAAATAGTTTTGGAGTGCTTGGTATATATTTCCAAGAAACCTGTAGAAGATCATGTTTTGATGCACTTTGGTGTATCTAATGAAGATAAATGTGAGTGTGTAATCTAAGAGCAAGGTAAGAAGGCAGTTTGTCCATATAAACAATGCCTAACAGGCATTGACCTGCTAAATATGACTTTCAAACAACCTGCAGAAGAGTTTAAAATAGGGTAGTCCATCATGATTAAATGTGAGATTTATTGATATTTATAAGCATTTTGGGGCCCGGCATGGCCAGGTGGATAAGGTGCTCGACTCGCAATCTGAGGGTTGCGGGTTCGAATCCCCATCCCACCAAACATGCTCTCCCTTTCAGCCATGGGGGCATTATAATGTGACGGTCAATCCCACTATTCATTGGTAAAAGAGTAGCCCAAGATTTGGCGGTGGGTGGTGATGACTAGCTGCCTTCCTTCTAGTCTTTCACAGCTAAATTAGGGGCGGCTAGCACAGATAGCCCTTGTGTAGCTTTGTGCGAAATTCAAAAACAAACAAACAAACAATAAGCATTTTGTTTTGTTTAATTCAATTTCCATATTTTTATCTTGAATTTTTAGGAAAAGCATCTTTTGCAAAGTGAACCACACTAAACAAGTCTGTACAAGGCAAAATGATCCAGTGGAACACCTTCCTTTGAATGCTTTCCTCTAATTATTAACTAAGCATTTCTTGGAAATTTTGCTAATTTCTGTCTTAATAGAACAATTATTTCAAGACTGAAGTAGCATCCAAGCACATAGCTTATTTCACCTACTGAAATACTCATTCAGCTGCTCTCACTTTTTACAAAAACATAAATGGGCTATGTGTTAATAATTAAAATTTTACTAATGTGTTTCTCACAGGTTGTATATTCAAGTTATTTTTGTAAAAAATTATGTAGATAATTATATTATTTAGTAATTCTTTCTGTCACCTAAAGATTTTTGTAACTTTGACATCACATGTAGAATTTCTTGGAAGTTTTGATTAAAAATCAGAATACCTTTTATGCTTTTTTGAAAGTTTGTTCTTAAATTTTGAAACAATAATACTATTTATTATGTATAAGACACTGTTTTATTTAAGCATATAAATTAACAATTCTTTTAGTAGCTTATTAAGCTGCATAAGCTTCTGTTTTATTTGTGTGCACATTTCAACATAAAATTTATTGTGTATATTTATAGAACAAATATTTTCCAATTAAATTAGAAAAACACGTTCAAGTTCAGAAATAGATTCCAAACGTTTTTTTTTTCCTGTAATTAGTTAAGGATCACAATTAAAAGATGTCTTTTCAGAGTTTTTACATCTTAAAAATGTATTACCTACAGGGCAGGACATTACCAAGCTGGAGTAGTACACGTGACTGGCTTAAACCTAGATTGGTGTTGTTGTTGTTTTAAATCATCTGACTCTTATTGGAACTGATATATAGGAAGAAGTGATGTCACGAAAAAGTAGTTACGTAGAATATTTTTGTGCATTTTGTAAACAAAAACAAATGTTGTATATGTAAATGACAGAAATAACTTTTGCATGCTAAGTAAAAGTCAATGTTTTGTTTTTCACTCAGGATGATGCTTGGAAAGTATATTTTGACAACACATCTGAAGAAATTGTAGATGAATTTTCAATGAGATATGGAATTGAATCAATATACCAAGCCATGACGTAAGTTCTTCTTTCTTTTTGTAGTGTAAATCTATTGCTAATTAAAGTAGAAAGTGTAAAATATGGTTTCTAAATTTTCAGATCCATTATTTTACATTTTCTTTCAGTCATTTCCACTGTCTGTCAATCAAGTACATGTGCCAAGGAGTTCCTGCTGTGATGAGCACATTGCTTGCCAATATCAATGCTTACTATGCACACACAACGGCATCTTCTGCTGTCTCAGCCAGTGACAGGTTCGCCGCTTCCAACTTTGGGGTATGAGTCTAAGTCACACATACTCTTTTAAAGGGACTTTGTTTACTTTTCTGGGCTTCCATTTACTTAATTTTTTTTCAATTATTATCAAAATTATTTCACTTTACTGTGGTTATTTTTAGCAGAAAGTTAAATCTGATGATGAATGGTTCAATTTTTTACAGTGTTCACTATTTACATGGTGCTTTGATTTATGCTTTTTGTGATAATATGTTGTAATATATCAGTTTTATATACTCCTGACCTCTTAAACACTGCTGAAGTAGTGATTGTGTAAATGTTCATATATTGTTGACTGCTTACCTGTTACTATAGTATTGATATCCTATTTCCTATTGTAGAATTGTTAGTTAAAGCTTCAATATTATTTGCTGTTTCATTGCTCTTGTAATATTATAGTTTGAATACTTTTATATTGTTGACAGTATACCTGCTACTGTATAATTGTTCGTTAAAACTTTATATATTGTTGACTGATTACCTAACTACTAAAGTGTTGGCAGTTAAATTATATTACTTTCTGTTTATCTAGTATAACATTATTGGTTAACTGCTCATATGGTTTTCACTACTCACTTGATGGTGTAGTACCATTAGCAGAATATTTGTATATTACTGGCTAATTAACATTTACAAGAAGTATTTTCCATTAAATAATTTGTAGCTTTATGGTGTTCAATACTTACCTGCTATTGTAGCTTAGTTTGTAGAAGAGTTACCTGCTAACCTACTACTTTAGATCTGTCAACATTAAATGCATATGTTCTTGAATTTTACTTTTGTTATAATACTGCATGTTGGATGACTGGTTTTTGTAGATGTATTGATAGATTTTCTGATACTATAATACTAGGTGTACTTCTGCAGGGTCCCCAAAAGTGTTCTGTTTCAAGAGTAAAAAAAAACTAAATTAAGAATAACAAATATTTTTATTTCTTGATTTTGAAGTTCATATGTCATGCTGTGTTGTAGCCTACAGAGTACATGTGATTCCTGGCATGTGCATGTTTTACAGTACAAATTGAAATGTTAAGCGTCCCCTATGTAACATCATTTCAGTGTCTACTGACTGACTGACAGACAACAAACTACTGTATAGTGGTGAGAGTGGTTAAAACAGGTGACCCCTGTATAAAAGGCCAATATTGTGATAATGACACCCTTTTTATCCTGTGAAAATGAATTGCACCAGAATACAGAAAGTGACACATCAGTATAAAGCCTTAAAAAAGAATAGGCAGTCATGTTATGCCTAGCAGTAGTAGTGTTTATCCAGTCATGGCTCTCAAGACTGAAATGCAAGTGTGTAGAAATCAGAGTTTGAACTGGTATAGGATACTTCACTTGAAAATTTATGGCAAGATTTCATTTTTCAATAGGATCTAGCTGTATACAAGTCTCTGGACAGGGTACATGAAATACATTGTTAATGATAGAACTGGTTAAGCTAGAAAACCAAAACTTTCCAAGATTGATTAAGTGTCTCAGAGTATGTTCTTTATGAGGTGGATGATGGTTAAGTGCAGATCTTGTCAATGACGTTGTTGTAAATACAGGTGTAAATGCTACCTCGAGAATAGTGAAATATGTATTCTTGCAAAGTGATCTCAGTGAATATGTAGCTGCTCAAAAACCACTGCTGAGAAAAGATAACCAAACAAGAAGGTTTAAATAAGCATCAGACCACAAAGAGTGGAATGAACAAAGCTGAAGACAAGTACTCTTTACTGATAAATACAAGTTTGAATTGTTCAGCAAGAATGAACAACAGTTTATTTGATGGTGGTGAGGAGCACGTTATCATAGTCAATGTACAACATATACAATGTAACATGGAGGAGGACCAGTGTATTTTTGGAGCTGCATCTCAGCAAATGATATTGGTGCTCTACATCAAAATGATGACACCCTGACTACTGACAAGTACAAGCAGATTCTGATCCATTCCCTCAGGAACATAAGTCATCAAATGGAGATTTATCTTCTAGCACACAGGAAATATAATGTTATTATATATTAATGGTAAAGAGGTCAATGGAACACTCAAATAAAGGCTTAGCTTGCACAAAATATGTAAAAACTGAGGTCAAAAGATGACCGAACAACTTGGCTGAATTGTTGGAAGAATATTTCACAATCATACACTGATAAACTTGTGGTAGCAAAAAACAAGGTGTACTGTTCTATTTAAAGCAAATACATAATACTAGTGCATTGTATTTTTTGTCATAATCTTTTGTGCTATTACAAAATTCACAACCTAGTTGTCTTTACTCATTTTTTGGTATTCCCATGTGAATTAGTTGTGTGTTTCCATATTTATTTCCATGTCTGTATATAGTGTTGATCAGATAGATTACCAAATATTTGATTGTTAAAATATTAATATAGTATTAAATGATTCTATCTGTAGCATTTGAAAGATAGATTACTGTAGTTTTAATTTGTAACATTCTATAATGTTGATTGGTACATCTGTAGTGTTGATCAGATACACAACTCTATGATTAACTGACAACATGCTATTCATAGCTTTGAATGGTTACATCTGTAGTACTTACCAGATATTTTATTTACCTTTGATTCACATGCTACTATAATGCTAATTAATTACTTCTATGGTGTTGATTACATAAATTGCTATGCTTTTGAGTAATAACACAGTGGTGTAATATTCAAGTCAAACCCCAGACACATGCTGGTTCACAATCTATATATCCTAAGAGTTTATTTTTAAATATTTGACAAAGATTGATAAGTACATCAAGTGATTCACATGAGAAAAACAGTACCTAAGTGATGTGATTTTCATAGTCAACTTCAAATGAAAATAGCTTGATAGCCTTTCGAAAAAATCTGCTTATTCTTTATTTTGATGAAGTGTATAATACTGTAATTTTCTGATACATTATCTTTGCAGGCTGTTACATGTCATTACACCTAAGTCTGTTATTTTCAGTATGGTGCTAACTTGTTTCTGTTTCTCTTTTGTAGAAAGAAAAATTTATTAAACTACTTGATCAGCTTCACAATTCCCTAAGGATAGACCTTTCAATGTATCGTGTAAGTTTTTCACTTTGTATAGATTAACCTACATCTTACAAAAGTCAAATTTTATCTATTTTTTAACTACTAATAAATAATATTGTTTATTTATTTTTCTCATTAAATTACTAAAATTACAAGCTCTTAAGCCTTGAATTGTATAAGATAAACCTCTGTATGGAAAGTTGTTTCTGGTTGATAGAGATATTTGTAACGATGTGTTCTGTCATATGAATGTTTCTGGGATCCCTTGTACTGCACATTTGAAACTTTATCAAAGTATCTGTCTGTCTCTCTTTCCATTTATTCTTCCATCTACTTGTTTGTCTGCCTATTCTCATATTAGAAAGTAAGTTTGATAACCATGGTTTTTCGTGTTTTTTTTTATTTGGAAGATGGGTTTTATTATTATATTTAATATTATTATAAAGTTTTTGCTAGTTTAACTGTTTAAAGAAGATAAAAAAATTACAGTTTCAGATTTATTAATTTTCTGAGCTCATCTTCTTTTCCTTCCAGTAAACAATTTTACACCGCTACTTACATCTAACTTATATCATTATAGCAAAAACTAAAATTTAATGTGATAATGATAATGTTTATAAGCTAGTTAAACACTTACATTCTTATATATAAAGATCAGAATGCATTATTTTAATGATGTTTGGTTTAGAATATGTGGAAATCATTTAGACTGACTATATATATATATATATATATATATATATCTGTTGGTATCAAATGTTGTGTGATTTTTAAGATAATTCACTCACTTATTTAGAATAAACTGTTTGAAAGAAATATTTTGAACCAGTCTTTGCAAATAGAATGAGTTCTATCCTTATACTTCCTTTCTTTGTAGAATGCAGTTGCTAACTCAAATTTTGACAAACACTAGTTTACATGAACTAAATGTTTTGAATCCCATCAAACATTGTTATGCATTCAGAGGTAATGATGGTAAGATTTGTATGAATTAATATATATATTGGACCAAAGTTCGAAATCTTTACTTACCTTAATTTACATAAAGATAACTTTCATTTAATTTCTGGTGATCACAGATTTGGAAGTAGTATACTTGGAACACTTAACATAAATATATCTGTCACTTGCTAAACTTTCATGTATTAATATGTTTTGTACATTATGATTCCAAAACCATAACATCTTGTTTAATATTGCTATTATCAATACAGTAGCTTTGAATATTTTAATACTTACCCTTATTTTATTCAGGAGCATTTACAAAAATGTAAGAGGAGAAAAACATAAAGATTCTTAGAGATGTGGACAATTGTTTATAAACAGTCAGACAAACTGTCAGGTTTTTATTGTGCTGGATTCTTTACAGTTGGCATTTCTGACTTATTGGCGATAAATGTCAGCAATAAATGGGCAGCACATAATCCACTTGTTTTAAAATAATATAATCAAAACAAGTCAAACGTATGTACAAAAATTATTTATCCTGTAGGATATCATAGTTGTATCTAAAACTTTAAATATTTCTCTTTTCATGTAAAATCCACACAGGCTAATTCAGTTACTTTAGAACCTAACTGACAAGATGAATTATTCTTCTCTATCTCTCTTTCTCACAATAGAATCAGTGATAAATTTGTTTAAGTTACCCGTGGGTTACCACGGTTTCATCCAGAGCTTTAAATAATTGTCTCCTTTTCATCCAAGTCCTCACAGATGGGTTCAACTTACTTTAGAACACCCTTTGACAAGACAAATTATTATTCTTCATCTCTCTTATTACAATACCACTTTGAAACTCACTTTAGATATTTCCCATTATGGCTAAATTAACAACCACGTAGTCTATCTTAACTTTCATTAACCTACTTTAATTAATCTTAACTTTACTTGTGCTCACTTAGTCGCTTTTATATATATATATATATATATTTACAAAATTAACAACATATCTTTGTAAACAAACACTGTGGAGCTGTTGCAAAAGCAGAACTTTCTTGCATTCCATAGTAACCCTGACCTTAAGAGTAAATCCACAAAGTCCAAACAGCCAGTTATATCTTTAAGTAAAGGAGTCATGTTTACAAGAAGGAAGCATAACAGATAACTATATTCATATATTTCTTTTTGTAAAAACATACCTATTAGGTCACTAGATGCTGCATCAGTAAGTTTATAGGTGTCCAAGTTACCAAAGAAACATTTATTAAACACTCCCATAAAGTACTGGAATTTCCTCTTCTTTTGTTTATAAGTGTCCAAAGTACTAAAAAAGCATTTGTTAAACAATGAACACAGGTAGTTTTGAGTAAAAGGAATAGAACTAGTTTAAATAGAACATCCTAAATGGAATGCAGATGTCATGTGTTATATAGTATAAGAATGAGTGTAAAGAGCTTTCTTTTTTATGCAACTTTTAGTGAAGTGATGTTTGTTATATTTTGAGCACAGGTGCAAAGTACCAGTATCAGTAGGTACTGGAAAATATAATGTACGATAGTTGTAGAGATTTCTAACACATATTATAGAACAATATATAAATAATCAATCATAAATTACTATTCTAGCAAGTGTTCTAAGCTCTTTACTGTTAGTATTATTGTATATGAATAAGTCTAGTTGTCAAAAAGAGATATAATAACATTTTAGTGAAAGTAAGTAATGTGCTTTGACAATGAGTGTATATAACAAACTTTTTTTGTGTCCAGAATAACTTTCCTGCCTCATCCCCTGAGAAACTTCAAGATCTTAAGTCTACTGTCGACCTTCTGACCAGCATCACTTTCTTTAGGATGAAAGTAAGTTTTTGTATATCTAGAATGTATTCAGAAAGATTGTCACAAATTATTGATATTGTATGTATGCTTAATTAAATGTTATATCATACTACTCTGTCATGTACACTGTCATATACATAAATAATACTAATTACTGTTTCTAATTTCATATTATTAATTTCAATTTAGACCAAAACATAATAAATACTCTTTTTACATAACATTAAATATTGTTATTTAGATCTCCATATATTAAGTTTAATGAAGCATTAAATAAATAAGTTTTTATAGATACAAGGGTACACCACTTACTTAGAATCTTAATACCTTAAGGTACAGGAACTGTCCAGTCCACCACGGGCTAGTACTGTGGTCAAAGACTGTGTGAAAGCTTGTCTTCGATCTACCTACCAGTTTTTATTTGAAAACTGTTATGATCTGTACAGTCGAGAATTTCAAGTGGATCCTCAAGAACAAAAAGGACAAGACAGCTCAAGCCGAGAAGGATCTTCAGATGACCATGGTCCAAGTTTAAATAATCTTGACTTCTGGCACAAGCTGATAGCACTTATGGTATCTGTGATAGAAGAAGATAGGAATACTTATGTACCAGTATTAAACCAGTAAGTTGTAAATATTATATCAATTATAGAATAACAATAATTATGTACTAATATATTAAATAGAAGTTTTAGCCATAGTATCTGTGCTTTAAAGGATTAAGTAGTTATGTAATAGTGTGAAACCAGTAAGTTTTAACTGTAGTGTCTATGTTAGGAGAGTTTAAAGTAGTTATGTAATAATATTGAACCAGTAAGTGTTAACTGTAATTTGTGTTTTAAAAGAGGATAAAGTAATTAAGTAATAGTATGAAACCAGTAAGTTTTAACTGGAGTTTCTGTGCTAGGAGAGGATAAAGAAGTTATATAATAGTATTAAACCAGTAAGTGTTCACTGTAGTGTCTGTGCTAGAAGAGGATAGAGTAGTTATGTAATAGTATGAAACCAGTAAGGTTTAAATATGGTAACTGTGCCAGAAGAAGATAAAGTACCTATGTAATAGTATTAAACCAGTAAGTTGTAAGTGTGATATGTGTGCCAGAAGAGGATAAAGTAGTTATGTAATAGAAACCGGTAAGGTTTAAATATGGTATCTGTGCCAGAAGAGGATAAAGTAATTATGTAAGAATATTAAACCAGTAAGTCAGCTCATGCTTCTTAAGGTATTTCTTTTGAAATTTTCTTTAGGGTCTGAAAAAAACCCAGCTTGTCTTTTATTATATTTTCTGTTTGCAGGCTTAACTCAGGAACAAGAAGCAACTGTATTCAAGAAGCACACCAGTTTATGCTTTATATTTTTGTTATTGTAGGTCTCTTCATGATAAAATATAGACCACATAATTTTGGTATGTTCTGTTATAGCCTGGACTCAACATGGCATAAAGTCCACAATACACATGAAGATGTCTTTTCCATTTCAGCCCATTAATTGAAGACTATTTTTTTATTGTTGATTTACACATGTCAGAGAAAGAGAGTGCTATTGAATTCAACAAAATTTCATTTAAACGATAATTGTATTGAAGTTCAATGATTGTGCTTAGCTAAGAAAGATGTCTAAAGCTACTGTCATGCTTTTTGAACCAATTTCAAGCAATGAATTGCTTCATTATCATTATGGTAGAGCTCTTGGTCATCAAGGTAGAAAAGTTGCATCATGTGGCAAACATGATCAGCAACAGACCCAACCTCTGTCATAAAAACATTACCTACATCATTACACCACCTTCAGTGGCTTTCACTGTCACAGCAACACAAGAAGGATTAAGTCCATTATGAAGTTTTATCCAAAATTTTATTTTTCCTTCTCAGTTTAAAAGAGTATAGAACATGAGTCATGAAACGCATAATGTTATGAGATTTAAGCTATTTAGTCTAAACATATGTGTTTTTCTGTTATAATTTGTAGTCATTCTAGAACAAAAAAGGCATAATTTATACTTATTTCCTAATTTTCTATGGTAGTTATGAGATCAGTCAAATCGACCAAACCCATACAGAGATTCATTAGTGAGAATAACAGATAAAATATGAAGTTTTTTCTTGAGAAACATTATCTCAGTATCTAGATGTTATAAAGATTTTGCATATGAAATTTGAAAATTTTCTGATGCATAAAAGTATTTTTTATGTAAAAATGAAAATTACTTTTCATGTTGGATAGACAACATGCAAAAAGAAAAAGGTATGAGAAAAATATTGCTTTACAAACCTTAAGACTTAATAACAAAAATCTAATATTTTGCTTATAAAAGCCTTGTAATGATTACTGATAATCTGCCAAATTTTGTGAAGATACACTTACTAATTTAAAAGTTATAGCAAGAAAACTATAACAAGCATAAAATGATTACAAGGTCGGTCGGAGGGACCAAGCCCATGCTGAAAGAGTTAAGGGAGTTTAAGGGAAAGCTTGATAAATGTTTGAATGATAAGGGCTGGTTTTGAGTGTTTTATTTGTGTTTTAGAGATTAGTTTTGTGAATGGGATGGCCTAGATGGACTGATAGGTCCCTTGTTACCTTTAAATTATAAATAATATGTAATGTGTTTTTAACAGTGGCAAATGTGGAAAAACTGTGTCCACCAACCACTGGTGAAAGACAATTTATGAATTTATGACAGATATCTTTCAACATCATTTCAAAGAAATGGTCTTTGATAATGATGATAACAGTCATACCCCTTTCAAAGTAAGAAAGATCTTTGCTCTTAACCAATGTCTTACAGACTAACCATAAGATAATTGCATCTCTATGATTCATAACATCATAACTTTTGTTATGTATTCTATAAATGTATTTATGTGTCTTAATAAAGTGGCCATTCAGTGGCTATCTGTGTTAAAACATTACATAACTTTCAGTTCTTACTTCCAAACACAATATTATAAAGTGGTGAGCTCTTCTTAAATAATGATTGTACAGTTAGTTAGTCTCTCTAAATTAAATGAGATGTGATGTGAGAAGCAATGATAAAATTTAAATTGTTTGAATACAAACATGTACATATAAGTGATAAGCTATAGACAAGATATAAGTGTTGATGTATATAAAAGTAAAAAAGGGTATAATGGGTGATAAATTTATAAAAATGTTTTGTTGCTGAACATAAAATGGAATTGTGAGTGTTGTAAATGATTAAGATTAAAGCATTCTTTACAGGAATATATCAAAAATAAGTCAATTTAGCATAACTATGCGAGTGTACATACCACAGAAATGAAATTAGTGTATAACCTGCAAGCATAATAATATATAAACAAATATAAATCTTATGTTCTCTTATGATAAAATATGAAAAAAAAGTTATGCTGCTCTGGATTTGATGAATAGTGTAATGAAATGTGGTACATCCCTGAGCTCTGACAAGAGGTGACCCAAACCAGGTGAGTTCACTTCTTCTTGTGTATGGCCTTTACAATGTTTGCACACAAGATGAAACGCAATTGTAATGGTCATCAACAGGAAGAAAGACAAATATTTTCTGTACTTTCATAGTAGTAGCATTTCTCCTGAGTTCTAGCATTCTTTATACATAGGAAATGAGCTCTGCCTTCTTTTGTTGATCTTTCTCTGTTCCAGCTGATCCTGAGACTCTTCTGTGAAGAGTCTTATAAATCTACTAGACCAAGAACACCAGTTTAATTCCAGACCCAATACCAACATTGAAGACTAGGTTGCCATGCAAGCTTCCTAAATAACTAAAATTAGATCCAGTTATGTTTAATATAGTGTTTGATTTTACATTTTATAAGGAACTGAAAACAGAGAGAAAAGCTCATGCTTTGCATGCTTTTTATTCTAGATTTCCCCAGGAATTAAATGTTGGTCAGCTTAGTGCCTCTACCATGTGGAGTCTTTTTGCTGTAGATATAAAGTATGCTTTAGATGGTGAGTTTACATATATTTTACTGAGCACTAGGTTAAGATTCATTAATTTTTTCTAAACAAACTAGTTAATTTAATTTAATAACTGCTTTATAATTATTGTGTAGTTGTGTGTAAAAGTATGTAGATATGTATAGAAATGTATATTTAAGATATAAACTGATGTAATCAAATGAGCAAGAAAAAAGTGTAATTGAAAGTTTAAGTAAAGATTAAAAGACTTACTTTGCAAAATAATTTACCAAATATATTGACAAATATATTAATATGAATTACCAGGAATAATATAGAATGTAAAGTCACAAACACAAGGATCACATTATAGTTATTTCATGCTTTTTGACAAATACATGTGCTTTTCAATGACAATAGGAGAGAAAGCATTGGATGTAATTCAAAACGTGTTAAATTGTATTAGTCTGTCTGTCTGTGTTGTAAACCTATAGTGCTTATTTTAACTAGTGGTATATGTAATCTACTTGTATGAATATCAACTTTTGCAGTCAAGAACTTAATAAATATAAAAGTTAATAAAAGTAATTTGTAACTATGAAATTATTTAAATGTTTCAAGATGTTTAAAGGTCAGTACCAAAATAATCCACTTAAAATTCAAATAAGTAATGAAATCATGATGGAGTGCTGTAGTGTTGCACTTGTTTACAGTGGTTAGATAATTTCTCAGTCTTTTAAATATTGTATATTTCTCGTGATACACATTTTCTAGTGTGAGTAGATAAGTTTATGTTTGGGCATGAAGCTTTACATTTGTTTTCTTTGTTCTTATTTACTGTTCCTTTCTTCAGAGCATGAGCAGCACCGTTTGTGTAAAAGTTCAGCATACATGAACCTGCACTTTAAAGTAAAGTGGTTCTACAATAATTATGTCAAGGATATACCTACTTACAAAGAAACTGTGCCTGAGTACCCAACGTAAGTATCAATCTTCTTCAAAATATTCATGAAAATCATATTACATAATTGGTGGAACTAGGATTTAAAAATGTATATAGGGCTGAAAAATTGTACTGAAATTTCAAACATCTGATGCAAATGAATCAAGCCAAAACAGAAAGTTGTTAAGAGTCATACTAAGAACCTGATAAAAAGTTCAAAGATAAAACCAAACACATGACAAAAAATAAAAGAATGAGACCAAAAAAAATCAGGAAGACTCTCAGATCATCTTCATGAGTAGCTTAAATGAATTAACTTCATTATATAGAAGACCATGAAAGGTCATTATTATACAAAGTGACATTGAAGAACCCTTTGGTGACTGAGTGGTTAGTCTAAGGATTTATGTCAGAGTTTTATGTATATGTAGATTGGGATTCTTTTACACTAGGTGTCTGTGACTTGTTGGTGATAAATTCGAACAATAAACGGACAGCACACAATCCACTTGTTTTAAAATAATACATTCAAAACAAGTCAAATGTATATACAAAAATTCTTTATACTATAGGAT